AAAGAGGCTACCTGGGAACGAGGACCGCCCGGGCGCCAGGTGCGAGAGTTTTAAATAGAAGCCTGCTGACGCTGCACCCGGGGTAAGGACAGCTGGCGCCGGCGGACCGGGCCTTTGCAGAAGGACCAGCATTACCGTCCAGCCAGCCAGGGCCAGTCCTCGCGTCCCCTGACTCCGCGGCAGCCGAGGCCGCGGCCTTTCCGTCTGCGCATCTCAGATTCCGAGCCCAGGGGCTTATTTCCTAAGTCACATGCTCTTAAGTTACCTCTCGCATTCACACACACACACACACACACACACACACACACACACAAGGACTGTTTTCCAAAATGCAGTCAGACATGGGAATTTTATGACATCAAACCCCCCAAAATGTGGAAACGTTGGTTTCAAACGACTTAATTGGGGGAAAGAATCAACCCCCCGATTCGCGATGGCTCTGCTCCGTTGCCGGCTCGTTTCTGAAGCGGCGACTGGCACGGGGTTAGGGACGGGGCCTCGGAGGCAGAAGCCAGGATTCACACATGCCCCGTCTTGGCACCCGCCGTGTGGGCTCTGATCTGGAAGTATTTCCCCTTCAGACAGGAATAGAGAGGTTACTGGTGGGTCACTCCCGTCTCACAAAAGGCTTTTCAAGGCAGATGAAAGAAACGTCGTTCTGAGCTGTGAGGGGCAGCCAGCTGTCAGCGTTCAAAGCGGAAAGATGGGTGAGCCTCGGGGACCGGTCTCCGGGGTGGGGGGGTCGGTGTGTAACCGTGTTGGGCTGAGAAACACAGGGTTACAGCCAGGCCGAGAGGGCGACAGGGCCCGCTCCCTCCGGTGTCCCTTACGCAGACTGTCCAGTGGGCTCTGTCCCCCTGCCCGTGGCCGGGGCATCGCTGTCTGGAAAGCCTGGGTAATGGCCGCCGGCCTGAGCGGCTGCCTCGCCCACAGCCGACCAGGGAGAGCTCTGCTCACACCAGCGAGCGCCAGCCTGCAGATGGTTTCCTCCCGGAGCTCACGGAAGCCAGGGGCCGGGGCCCTGGAGGGCACCTGCCTTCCTCAGTCACCGAGGCTCTGTCTTCCTCTGGAGGGACCCGCCTGCCGGGCGCCCGCCGGGGAAGCGGAGCACACAGTCCCGGGGGCGGTGCAGGAGGGGCGGAGGCAGAGCATGGCTGTCCACAGGGCTCGCCCGGAACCGGAACCGGCAGGCAGCTTCCTGCAGCTCAAGAGCTTGCTTAGCGCCTCACCGGAGGGTGAAGTCCTCAGTCACTGGGGAAACCGGCAGAAATGCCCAGGGCCGAGGCGAGTGACTGGTGGGCAGGGGCCACGCCATGATCCCCTGGATACGCCGGGCACGGTTCTGGGCGCGGGGCTGTGGCAGCGAACGAAAGTGTGAAAACTCCCTGCCTGCGTGGAGCTGACATTCCAGTGGGGAAGGCAGATAAGGAAGACGCAAGCCGCATGGGCCGTTTTTGAGGGGATGGGAGCTCGTGGGAAATCACACGAGGGAGGGGGCGTGTGTGGAAGGTGCAGGGACCAGGGACCAGGGTGGTGGGGGAGGTCTCACCGAATGTTGGGCATGTGAGTGGGGAGGGAGGGAGGGTGCTGTGTGGACGAC